AGACACATTGAAACAGAATATTTCAGAATATGGATATGTGCCATAAATTTCAGTCGCGTGTGAAACGAAATGACGTGTTCAAATGCTACCTTTTGGAAAATGCTAAGAACCTTTGTTTTGACCCAATAGTTTCTGAGTTTTATTCTTGTCATAAAATATTGAATAAATAAATGAGTATTTTTCTTGGATTTTATAAACATTTGGAAATATTCAAATATTCGATCGTCAAATGAAATTCTAACTGGAGCGAAGAATCCTCATTAATATGCGAATCGTCCACACAGATTTTTGCCGAAATGCTGTAATAACATTAAGAAATATGAAGGTATATATACAAATAATTCAGGAAGTCCGAGAGAGAAAGAAAAGAGAGAGGGAGATGGTGGAAGGAGAGGGAGAGAAAATAAGGAAAAGAGAGAAAGGAAAGGAGAGGGTGAGAAAGAGATGTAAGGGAGTTGTGGGAAGAGAGATAAATAAGTGAAACAAACAAAATGAAAGATAGATAGATAGATAGATAGAGAGAGAGAGAGAGAGAGAGGGGGTTGCTTATTTTTGAAACCGGATTTTTTATGTAGAGAATTTCGTAATAAGCAACCAAATAGAGGAAGGCAGGTTTCTATTTCCTGTCTAGCAAACCCGCACACACACACACACACACACACACACACACACACACACACACACACACACACACACACACACACACACGTATATATATATATATATATATATATATATATGAAGGAGCTGACCTGGAATTCGTAGAAATGTAAAATGGCATTAAATGTTACATGCATTTAAATATGTTGTTGCTATATTCGTGATAAATGTTGTTGAGTGTCAAAATCAACCAAAAAATTTATTACGAATGTAAAACAAAATATTAAAGTGCATATAACATTTAATGCCATTTTTACATTTATACCAATTTCCGGTCAGCTCCTTTATATTGAAACGTTTATTTTGTAAAAAACCTCCATCGCTACAACGGATAAATAATAATAATTATATATATATATATATATATATATATATATATATATATATATATATATATATATATATATATATAATTTTATATGCTTTATTTATGAGTAAAGTGGTCAATATCAAGGATAGAGATTAAATTAATGAAGAAAGTCGTCAATGAGGGTCAACACTGAGCGGCGACAGTTGAACACAATCTTCATTTGTCGCCATTTTATATTTTTAATTTTGCGCATGCTCGTTGTTTGTTTTTGATTTTGTCAACTGCACAGTATAGTAGGGTCAGTTGGGAACCGTCTGTGAGAAAAAGAGCACAATGACACAGTCCACCCCGCTAGAAATTTGAAAATGGTATGCTGTACTGGTTACATATATGTTGTCATTGTTTACGTTAGGTAACCTTTGGGAAGAGAAATGAATTATCGAGAAAGGTCGTCGAATGTGTGTATTTATAAGCAGTAATTTGAACTCTCGTGAACCGGAAGTCCTCTCTGGCTCACGGTTAACAGCACATCAGACCAAATGACGGTTTCCGTATCAGATACAAGTTCTATTCCTATCGGAGGGCGCATATCTTTTGCAATATTTCTCAAATATTCAGGCCGGTAAATGTAATTAATACTGTTTAATTAAAAACAGAGCATTTACTCAAAATATGTTGTATATATATATATATATATATATATATATATATATATATATATCCAATAAACGCGTTGGTTGTAGCTATCCAGAGACTTGACCTAAAGAGTTGTGAGTTCAATTCCTGACCTCAGCGGAGAGAACAAAAACTTGGGCGGTTATCAAGGCGAATTAACTAAAACTGAGATATCCAAAACGCATGGTGCGTGGAATTAGAACAATCTACCCCTGTGGACTAGAGAGATCGCTTCGAAATTCACCTGAAGAAGGCCGGAGCGTACAAAGGCCGGAACGTCGTGGATGATCAATAAAGATGAGGACAAAAATCAAAACAATGTAAATAGTTGCAATACTTCACCCCAGAAATATAGACAGATGCAGACAATGTTTATTAAAATATATTGTCACTGATTAAATTAAAAACAAATTCAAAATAATCGCCAATTTCATAGACAGTCTAATAAATTGAATCAAGAAACATAAAATTAGAAAATTAATTGAAAGAAGAAAGAAGGAAATAAATAAATATAGTGTTGTGTATGATACACCTAATTTACATAAGTGGAGTACCGACCATATAAATATGGGTTGGTACCGGAAGACGACGGAAGATTAAGAGATCGAATCCAGAGACTCTGCCCGACTGCGACTTAGTCAACCCATTCTGCAGGAACAGTCTTCCCAAGAATATACCAAAACTACCTGTAAATATTGTGTACCTTTTTTCATTGTTTCAATACATTTTGTTACGTACATTTTGTGTTGTATTATTATTATTCCATGCTTATTCAAGCTTCAACATATAGAAACAAGAAAGAAACAAGAAGAAGAAGAAGAAGAAGAAGAAATACGTGTCAGACGCAGAGAAAGTAAGGTTAATTCAAATGTTTCAAAATCTTTATGCCAGCCATTTCTTTTTCAAAATGTATAAAATACACAATAAAATTGGTTCGTTTTTTGATTTGGAAATAAAGTGAAGAACTTACCCTGTCTTTTTGAAGCCATCTTTGTACGATATAGGTTTGGTTATTTGGAATGGCAATCTCATCGCAGACACAAAGTACCTGCAGCAGGTCAAGAAATCGGTAATTCTGTAGAAAAAAAAAAACGGTTAAAGGCAAAGCGTGAAAATGGCGATAAATCTGATTATCTAAATTAGTTGAATCTAATATTTAACAAGAAAATGAAATAGGAAGAAAGATAATAACAACGAAAAATAAAATAAAATTCTCTCTTTAGGAATTGTTAGAAAAATGGACGAATTAAAATCCCCAACTGCTATTATCAATCAAAATGAAAATTCATAAGCTATCACTGTTGCAGCTCTCAATAAATTACGTCATCTCGTTATTTCTAAAGTTTGTCCCACCATCCAAGCTTGTCAAGTATGTTATACGTTGATTTCATCTCTCCCTATTGCCCTGAATCTGTCCTGTGAGTATCAGATTTTCTAAACCATCCTTCCTCATTATGTGCCCCAGAAATATAAATTGTCTCTACCTGAGATTAATTATCAGTTTCCTTTTTGTTTTCGTTTTCTGTAAAACCTTGTTGTTGCTCACGTGATCGGTCCACGGTATCCTCAGCATCTTTCTGTTGTTTCAAGCCTCTTCTTCATCTTTGTCCAACATACGACAGGACAGATATCACGTGACAGTTCAGTTCTTTTAACTTTTTTTTTCTAACAAAGTTTTTCTATCCTTTAATACTCTGCTTTGCTTTTAAAAGGCATCTTTCGCTATCCCAATGCATCATGGGGTTTCAGTGTCGGATTTTCCATCCTCTGTTAGAATACTTCACAGATATTTAAATTTTAATATATATATATATATATATATATATATATATATATATATGTGTGTGTGTGTGTGTGTGTGTGTGTGTGTGTGTGTGTATGTGTGTGACAAAGTGGCAAAAAGTTTACTTGTGACGCATTTCGTCCTTCAGGACTTCATCGAACTAAATTTGTTATGTTGGTACGATTACACATGCGCAGGAACGAGAGGTGCTGGGGACTTAAGAATTTTTAGAAGTCCCGAAGGACGAAACTCGTCATAAGTAAACTTCTACTTTGTCATACAATTTCCTCATTGTTCTACTTGATATATAAATATATAAAAAATACACACACACACACACACACACGCACACACACACACACACATGTGTTTGTGTATTTAGGCAGAAGATTCTCTTTTGGGCATGTCTAATTAAATAAATTACAAACATTATGTCGGCTTATTTTTAGCATAATCCTTTCATATTCACTGATATTGTGCTTGGTTGATTTTGGTATCTTTGATTTGTAATTGGCATTTTGGGCTTATCACTTTCGCTAATAACCATGCATTCTGTCGTCTTGTTGTTTATATTTCATCCTTTCTTCTCGCTTTCCTTCACTACCATCTGTTTGAGCGTTTGTAGCTTTCTTTCCGTGTCTACTATCAGCACTGTGTCATCTGCATATCTTGTTAAGATTGCGGCCGCAAATACTGAATCCTGAGATTTCTCCCAGAAATGCCTCACTGGATAAGTTGAATAAGTCCGGTGAGAAGACGTCTCCTTGTCTTTATATTTTTGTATATTTGCTGAACTCATTTTCTATCCACATGCAGGCGGTTTACTGACAGTATAGGTTCTAGATTATTCTAATGTTCTTCCCAAATATGTCCAGGCTGCTGAACAGTTCCAACAGATCTTTATGGCGTACTTTATCTTATGCGTAATCTATAAAGGTACCGGTCCTTCTGCATTTGTATTGCTCTTATAATATTCTGTGCATAAATATACTCGTTCCAGTGTCTTTGACAAAGTCAAAAAGGACTATTGCAGTCAATCGTTTGTTTTGAAAAACAAAATCGATGATGGGAGGATTATGTCGTCTTTAAGTGACTGTTTTGAAATGGGCTGAGGTACTTCCCTCTTGGGTAGTTTTTTGTGTTAAATGGATATCGATATATCGTACACAGAAGTGAAATAAAAGAAAAACAATTTCTGTTTATTTTCATGAAAGCTGAAAACATTCAATTTCTTTCGTTAACATCTTGCTGTTTTTCTATTCACGGAAAACCAAGGATGGATTAAATAAAAGTCGTAGTGAAATAGTGGTCCTCATTGAAAAACTGCGACGTAGTGATCGGACGAAATTAATGATAATTGCATTTTCTTTTCGATTCCGATAGACCCTCTTTTCTTTGGAACGATTTTTGGTTTTTCACGAAATCAAAGTAGAAATAATAAAATGTTTGTGTTTGCCATTGGTTAAAAACGCCATCTTTTTTCTTCAAGATTTTCATTACGATCGTTTCTTAAAACCCCAAACCACATTACTTGTCAGAAGAAAAAAGATTTTTTTCTTTTCTATTCAAAAGTTTTCTTTCTTTTATTCTTTTTCTTTCTTTCTTTTTTCTTTCTTTTTTTCTTTCTTTCTTTTTCTCTCTTTGTTTGTTTGTTTGTTTGTTTCTTTCTTTCTTTGTACATCCAATCAAACCCGGGGTTCCAACTACAATTAGAATTCTTGAATCCTTTATCTGCCACATTTTCGAGATTGCCACATTTTCGAGATTGCCACATTTTCGAGATTGCCACTTCAGTATCCTTGCATTTTTAATAGTATTTTTTAAAGATCTTCAAAGATACATTACAATCTGCAGGAACTACCATGTCAGTAATAAAGCACATTCTCTTCTTGTGTCTTTTGATAAATTTACCTGGGCGATTAGTTTTGACTGTTCTGTCAGTATGTATTCTAAAGTTCCATGAAATGATTTCAGATCCTATGTAACTGGCTCTAAGTGATGTTCATACGAATTTCTTACCGTTTCCTTCCAGTAAAAGTTTCAGATTTTCCACTAGAGATATTAGTCAACCCGTTCATATTCGGTGGATGCTGATACTGTGCAAGATTGTCAATTGTTTGTAGATATTCATCACGGAATCTGCATTTCGGATCAACACAATTTTTCCATATATTTTCCTGGTAATTTCTAGTTAGTAAACATTGGTCCTGCGCAGCAAGAATAAAAACCGTGGTTTCAGCTTTTAACCCTACTCTATGCAACAAAAGATGGGTATGGGCTTTGTCTACATCAGCTTCTTTGGTACGGGCAGACCATGAAGAGATTTATCTTCTAATTGTTCTGTATTTGCTTCAGCCTTCTTTTTTTTTTAGGTTATTGAAGTTTATGGTTTACTTGCACTTCTTCTTGAAATTCCCTTTTGAATTTGTTGGCTTCTGTTATTACTGATTAATTTATTCTTCTTTTTCTTCATTATTATTATTAATTTTATTTGTAGTATAATTATTAATATTATTTCCATTGATTTCTGGTGTATACTCATTTCTTTCCGGATCCCAATCAGGGGCCTAAGGTCAGAAATGGCATTCTGACTGTTTCCACTGAGAATTTATTGAGGAAAATAATAATAATAATAATAATAATAATAATAATAATAATAAAAGAACCTAAGATCACACGTATTGTATATAGATAAAGTCTTTCGTAAGGTGTGATCTGTACTTGTGAGTACAATATTTCTTTCTTTAAGGATTGGGCTACAAGGAATCCTTTCAATGAGTCTATCGGAACATTTTCCAATCAATCCGAGGGCTCCATCTACAACAGGAATTTTTGATGTCCTCATGTGCCACATTTTTGAGATTTCTATTTCAAAGTCTTTGCATTTTCATAGTTTTGTGAAGATCTTCAAAGATACATTACAATCTCCAGGGACTGCGATGTCGATAAAAAAGCACATTTTGTTTTTGCGGTCTCTGATAACGATGTCTGGGTGATTAGCTTTGATTGTTCTGTCTGTATGCATTGTAAAGTCACTTAAAATTATTACAGGCCGTACCACCGGGTCTAGGTGGTGTTCATACCAATTTCTTGCAGTTCTCTTTCCGTAAAAGTTTAAGATTTTCCAGGTATTGGTCCACTCTGTCATGCTGGGTTCTATATTCAATGGGTGCCAATACCGGAAAACCTGATAAAAGATGCTTATTTGTTTCTGAATATTTATCACAGAATCTGTATTTTCATTATGTATGCTTGGCAATTTATATTTAGCAAGCATTGGTCTTGTGCAGCAAGATTAAAACCATCGGTTTCAGCTTTTACCACTGTATTTCGTAGTCACTGATGGGTATGAGGTCTGTTTACATCAGTTTGTTTGGTACAGACAGAATATTGACCATGAAGAGTTTTATCTATCCATCGTTTCTGTATTTGGTTCATTGCCTTTGCCTTTTTTAAAGGATTTTGGTGCTGCAGTTGGTGTATCATGATTATTTGCATTTCTTCACCTACTTGAAATTCCATTTTGAACTTGTTGGCTTCCTTTATTTCCGAATAAACATTCTTACGTTTTTCATGTTCTTTGACACAGATCCTCATCCATTCTTCTGTAATTTCCAGATATATCTTTAAAGGCCGATTGTTGTACTTTTCTAAGACAGTTCATGTTGAACTAATCCTCTGCCTCCTTCGGGTCTGGATACATACATATGACCAACATCCCAAGGCTGATGTTGATGGCATGCGATGACAAGTAAGAAAATTTCTCCTTTTGACAGCTATTTACTTGATGTCAAGTATGCTTCAGTTTATGATGAAACTGTATTGCACCAAGGGGGCAGCCATTTCAACTCGGTATTCAATACTAGACGCACACGTCTGTTGTATCTTTTCTTATTTTCGCCTTCATTTGGATATGCTGTATTCCATCTCCTTCGCTAATTCCTTGATACCTATAGGCTTCTTCTTGTTCTACGTCCCTAATCTTTATGACAATATCTAGATCTATTGAATGTGTTTCTGTAATTCTCCCTTTCTTAAATACTGCTTTTGCACATTTATCTAATCCGAAATCCATACCTATCATCACTGAAACATTTTACTGTAGTGAGGAGACTCTTCATCTCATTGTCATCTTTGGCAAAGAGTTTGAGATAATCTATGTAGAGTAGGTAATTAAATATTTCTTGTTTACTTTGTATCCATTGCTATTATTGTTTAGTTCATGTGTAAGGGAAATTAGGAACAGGCAAAACAGAAATGGCGAGAGGGAGTCTCCTTGAAAGATTCTTCGTCGGATATTCAGGCGTTTGGAATTGGCAGTGTCATTGGTTTGATTTAGGTATAATGTGGTTTTCCACATTCCCATGCTGTATTTAAGAAAATTTACTATAATCGAGGAGAGTTTGTACATTTCCAAAGCCTTAAGGATCCAAGAATGTAGCACACTATCAAAGGCTTTACGGCAATTTATCCATGCTGTGCTGAAATTTCTACCTCTTTTCTTGTAATTTTCGAAGATCATTTTGTTTAACAATAATTCATCTTTGCAATCATATGAACCTCTTCGACATACATTCTGTTCTAAGGAAAAAATGTTGTTTTCAACGAGAAAAGAGTAAGTATAGTTCGTTAGGACAGACGTGATGAGTTTACATGTGATGGTTATTATAATTCTTATTTCTTGGCGGTCATCAGTGATTGAAGAAATCTTTCTAGCATCGACATCAATAACCCTTCAAACAGAAAACGTTCTTGAGTTATTCCATTCTCTTTTAAGGGATTTTTGGTTCCGTTACTAGTGCATTGATAATAATGAATATAGCTGCTGTATTATTTAAAAAAAAAAAACAAAATATATATATATATATATATATATATATATATATATATATATATATATATATATATATAGAAATTTAAATCCCTGGCCTGAAATATTTTTTTATTGGTTTTAAGCACATGGCCACCAGATGACGCCAAGAATATTCCCCTAACATTTTTTTTAGCTGAAGCAATAAATCTAGTGAAGTCAGTTAATTTTTAATTTCCTTTTACTAAAGTACAGGTCATCTGCTACAAGATTTGCACGAAATCTCTAAATGTAATTCGTCAGGTGTTACAAATATTCTCCGGGTTTGACTGGCTCATCATCGCTTCAGAGCAGACTGTAGGCGTCACACTCCCATCCACTCTAGTGTACCAATATGTCAGACTTATATAAACTAATTAAATATCTATATTTATATATTACATCATATCATATCTTACCATTATCTATCTATCTGTTCATATCTATCTATCTCTCTATCTCAGTCTGTTCATTTCTATCTATCTATCTATCTATCTATCTATCTATCTATCTATCTATCTATCTATCTATCTCAGTCTGTTCATTTCTATCTATCTATCTATCTATCTATCTATCTATCTATCACTTCTGTTAATTATCTATCTATGTATCAATCTATCTGTTCATATCTTTCTGTTCATATTTATCTCAGTCTGTTCATATCTATCTATCTATCTATCTATCTATCTATCTATCTATCTATCTATCTATCTATCTGTTCATATCTATTTACCTATCTATCTTTCTATCTGGATGTGTAGTCGAATGGTTAAACCAAGAAACCCGTGTTCGAATCTGACCATGTCCAATTTGTCAGGAATGTGGCTTCTTGATGTTATAGCTCTGGAGAGGCGATCCCAGTGCGCGGCACTTATGCCTGAAAACCAGTGCGTATTCTATTCATTATGTATACATATGATACAAGGTTATATCTTAAATGTTAGTATGTGGCATTTTTTTCTGATTTTCAAATTTGGGGGCAAATGCGCCCCTTTCCATCTTCGTGTATTTGGGGAGTTGCTGCACGAGGAATGATTGGTACACAGTCCAATCTGTCGATGGTAAGGATCTCCTGAACACAGTCTAATGTTTATATTCCCTCTACGGGAAGAAGAAGGAATCTCTGCATACTAAAATTCAAAAACGCATTTTATAATCGGAGTCAAATTAGCGGTAAACAAAAGAGATTGAAGTAAGTACTGGTTATGACGATAAATTAGATCCGGCAGCAAGACCGCTGATTGGGAGATTGGAGTTAATTGCTGTTGTTCACAGGTTAGTGTCCAAGCTATGAGTAAATAGAGAACCTCCCCCCCCCAAAAAAAAACTCTGAAAGTAAAAAAAAACACATTTTTATAGTTGTTGTAGTTTTCACAGTGCAGGCTTGTATTTCACTAAGCCGGTCCTAAAATAGGTTCGACGTACAAAACGTTAGGAACTTGAAATAATAGTTAATGACGCAGCAATCTAGTTGTGGTGGTTGATACTTTAATGCCCGACATCGACTGACTCACCAACTCACACTGAGCCCTGGCGACTGCTACTACTACTTATTATTATAAGTGGGAGAGTCTATTTACAATAGAATAGGTATGTTATAGTATAACAATAGTAAAAATACCAGCAATGTATATTTATATGAAAAATACAAACAATACATATTCATAGTAAAATACCAACAATAAAATTTTAAAGCAAAATTACCAGCAATATCTTATAGTAGAATGCTACCAATAAATATTTATCTCAAAATGACAAACAATATATTTTATCTGAGGTTCAAGGAATACAACTGCGTTCGAAATATACTTAGTTGAAGACATAAAATTATATTGAAAATATTTCGACTTAATTTCGGCATTAAATGACCCATGAGATGTTGAAATGCCGTTAAACAAACAAAACAATCAGTCAGCTGGAAGAAAAATAGAACTTACTTGGTTTTTCTGCAAAAGGCCGACGAATTCATTAATTTGTGCGTGTGTGATGCGGTCCACGATTTTCCTTTTGTCTCTGATTAACTCAACAATCATTTGTGCCACATTCAAACCGATGCCACCCTGGAATTTAAAAAAAAAGAAAAATTAAGTCGTGTTTTATTTTTTGTACTTTTGCCAAAACAATCGTCGGCTATTTAAAAGAATCATTTTTTGTAAATAATACACGAACTGATTTAAACGACGCTCACAACAGAGGGAAAGAGTTGATACAACCTCCGGTCACAAATTCATAAATTGAAAAAAAATCAATAATTATTAAACAGTAAAAACTTATTAATAAATCTGTATTTTAGTCCGTTTTTCTTCATCGTATATTTTTTCATTTCTCACAGTGTGAATTGTTATTCTGTCAATTTATTTAATATTTACCTACAACTTCTTCTGACGCAATATTGGTTGAAAAGGATGCTTAAAAAGAATGCTTTCCTGCCTTTTCAAATCTATCTATAAGTTCTGTAGTATCAAATTTATTATATATATATATATATATATATATATATATATATATATATATATATATATATATATATAGTGACTATACTCGTTTCGGAAAACCCTCGAATTTTGATTTGCCAATAATCAAATCAATATCGATGGAAAAAAGATTTTAAAAAAAGAAAGAGCTAGAAACTAAAGCTTTCCCTGACGATCCGCTTAGGTGAAACCTGGGTAGGTTTGTTTGGCTCTCTAGGTTTATCTATCTCTCTCTCTCTCTCTCTCTCTCTATATATATATATATATATATATATATATATATATCTGTGTGTGTGTGTGTGTGTGTGTGTGTGTGTGTTCACAGGGAAACCTTGACTTACGTCGGACATCCGTTCCTATTTTTTGATGTAAGTCAGAACTCACCTATATAAGCACCCACAAGTCTTGGTAGCCATAATGAAGGGCGAAATTAAAAAAAAAAAAAGAAGAAAAAAAAAGAAAAAAAAGACACAATTGTGAGATAGCGAATGCAGCACAATCAAATATGGCGTACAGACGGTAATGAAAAAATGCTAAGTGACGATGAGATATGGCGACGTAACCACGAAACGCCGTACGTCGGGTCCGACGTAACCCAAGGACCTTCTGTATATATGTTTCGTTGAATATAAGAGACAAATAAAGTTTAATTAATTTTTTACATAGTTTTTCTTGCGTTCTTACATTTTTTTCTTTTTGGCTGGAGTAAGGGAGACAAAAATTGTCCGCATTGTTCCAGTCGATTTCGGACACTTCTTTATCCATTTTCGACAGTTTTTTCTTCTTTTTTTTTTTTTTTGGTGTTGTTAATTTCTCTTTCAGTTTGACTGTTTAAGATGTATTATTTGTGTTCTTTTGGATACAAGCAGGGAAAGTAACACAAAATACATCAAAAAACAGTGGCCATGTGCTTAAAACAGAGACATTAACAACACTAAAATCCACTCCCTTGAAAATAGCTAAAGAAGTGGCCGAAAGCGCTTGGGACAATAGACAATACAAACAATTTTGCACTCCCTGACTGCCACCATACGGAATAATGTAAGAATACTGGACAAAACTCTATGTGTGTGCGTAAGTGTCCGTGTATATATATATATATATATATATATAAGTATAATATCTGTGCAGGCATACGTATGTGTATGTATGTTTGTATGTGTATATATGTGCATATACATATTTATGTATATATAAATATTTACCATTTAAGAATTAATATCATTAGTACCATATATATATATCTATATATCTATATCTATATCTATATATATATACATATAAATATATATATATATATATATATATATATATATATATATATATATATATATATATGAAATATTTATCATTTACGCATTAATATCAATTATTTACGTAAAAACGAAATATGACTGCCCTAACAAAAAAAAAAAAAAACTTTAATAAATAAATAAACGAAAAGGGCAAATGATCACGACACCTGACACGTCTGCACATTCGCGCAGACGGGCCTACGTGATATAGGAAAAAAATCTTACACCAATGTTAAAAGTATAAAAAGTAAAAGTATAAGTAGTATATTGCTGATACACCCTAAAGAGTGGACGGAAACTTCGTCTACGAAACGCAGCAGACGGGATGCCGGGGTAACTTCAATCAACTAAATGACAAACTTTTACTCATATCAATCATATTAATCCCCCCCCATATATATATATATATATATATATATATATATATATATCACTCAGGAGGAGCTGAGTTTATTTCCCCGGCATCACCAAAAGAGCAATTGGGAATTTTACACACACACACACACACACACACACACACACACACACACACACACACACAGATATATATATATATATATATATATATATTTCAAGCATGTTTGGTTGAATAATCTAGACATATTATGTCTATTTATTTTAATCCTCACAAATTCATGGATGAATTTCTTAGTGCAGTTACTAAAGTGAGTAAGAAAGGCACCGTGGTTTTAGCTATTTCTTTAAAAAAAATTCCCAAGTACTTTCAGTCTCATCCAAGATCATCTTTAGGGGTGAATTGTTAGAACAAAAATTAGTATAATTGATAGTTGCGAACTTTTTTGTATATGCGCATGAACTCGCTCCATTATAGTCAATTTACATTAAAAATATATAATTGAGGTAACTTAGTCAAACATTTTTATTACTCTAATAGCTCGTTTAATTTGTTCATCAAGACTGAAAATAGTAATTTTTAATGAGTTTGTTTAATGTCATTTAATTCCGTGTAGTAATGTTTTTTTTTTTTTGTGGAAGAGTTAACTTTTACACGGTTTATTAAATTTTGTATGATCGTTGTTTTGTAATAGTCAGGACATTCACTTTTATAGTTGAGAGTGCACGTGTTTATGCTACTTGTTTTTTTTTATATGGGGAGGTATTTACTACCTCCCCATATAAAAAAAACATTGTATTATTATTAGTGTCTATCAATATATCAAGGATAAGGATTCTGTTATTATTCTTAAGTTCATATGTTAACTTAAGAATGGAATTGTTTTGTAGTTCATGTATTTCGTCTATGTCATTAACTAAGATGAGAATATCGTCTACATATCTTAGATGAATTTGAGAGGATTAAAATAAAAAATAAATAGATTATGTCTAGATTATTCAGTCAGACATGGTTGAATGAAGATATGCGGCCTAAATATACATCTCTCTCTCTCTCTCTCTCTCTCTCTCTCTATCTATCTATCTATCTCTATCTATGTCTCTCTATCCCTCTCTCTCTCTCTATATATATATATATATATATATGCGTGTGTGTGTGTGTGTGTGTGTGTGTGTGTGTGACAAAGTGGCAAAAACTTTACTTGTGACGCGTTTAGTCCTTCAGGACTTCATCGAACTAAATTTGTTATGTTGGTACAATTACACATGCACAGGAACGAAAGGTGCTGGGGTCTTAAGAATTTTTTTTTGAAGTCCTGAAGGACGAAACTCGTCATAAGTAAACTTCTACTTTGTCATACAATTTCCTCATTGTTCTTCTTGATATATAAAACACATAAGTCGTCATCTCTCTCTCTCTCTCTCTCTCACACACACACACACACACACACACACACACACACACACACACACACACACATGTATTTGTGTATTTAGGCAGAAGATTCTCTTTTGGGCATGTCAAGGGGATGATGCTGATGATGATGATAATGATGACAATGATGATGTATTACGTCTATCGGCCTGCGCACCCGAAGAAATTGTTTTTCTGATCTGACACCCTTTAAGGCCTGTGTT